TATGATACATGGACCTTGCGGTACAGTGAATCCAAATTCACCATGCATGATAGATGGAAAATGCTTTAAGTGATATTCTCGAGCATTAGTATCCAACACAGTTACAGGAAACGATGGATATCCTTTATATAGAAGAAGATCAGCAGAAGATGGCGGTAAATTAGCAACCATACAAATGCGAAACGGTGACATCGAAGTAGATAACCGGTGGGTTGTTCCATATTCGCCTTTGCTATCAAAAACATACAAAGCGCACATAAACATGGAATAATGTAACTCCGTTAAATCAATCAAATACATTTGTAAGTACGTGAATAAAGGCAGTGACATGGCAGTTTTTGACATGCAACCAGAAAGAAGTCATAGGAATGCGGTCATACATATAGATGAAATCGCACAGTATCAGGCTGGAAGATAAAGATACATAAACAGCAATGAAGCTGTATGGCGAATTCTTTCATTTCCCATACATGAACGAAATCCAGCTGTTGTTCACTTAGAAAATGGACAACGCGTTTATTTCACAGCTGCAAAGAACTGCTCATTCTGCTTTGAAATTGCCATTGAACATGCAATTCATTGAAACTCCCACGTGCAACATTTCCAAAGCATCCGGCATGGGAAAAGTATTGCAGAAATGCAAACTTATTGTTTGGGATGAATGCACAATGGCGCACAAAAAATCGCTCGAGGCGCTTGATCGATCATTGCAAGATTTGCGTGGAAACATCAGACCATTTGGGGACGCATTAATATTGCTTGCAGGAGATTTCAGTCAAACATAACTTGTAATTCCTCGATCGACACCAGCGGACGAAATAAATGCCTGCCTGAAATACTCTACTTTGTGGCGACACGTAAAGACGTTAAAATTAACTACAAATATGCGTGTCCAGCTGCAAAACGATCAATCAGCTGAGATATTCTCACATCAATTGCTGGAAATTGGGAACGGAAAGGTGCCGATTGATCTGACGTCAGGACGAATTTCATTGCCTCATAACTTCTGCAATTTAGTGACATCAAAAGAAGAATTGGTTGAAAAAGTATTTCTCAATATTCAAACCAATTATAAGAATCATGATTGGCTGAGTGAACGAGCTATTCTTGCGGCCAAGAACAAAGACGTCTACAAACTTAACAATATTATTCAGTCTAACATTCAAAGCGAGGCAGTCACATACAAGTCCGTCGACACTGTTGTGGAAGCAGATGAAGTGGTTAATTATCCAACAGAATTTTTGAATTCAATCGATCTGCCAGGGATTCCACCGCACGTACTGCAATTGAAAATCGGCGTGCCAATTATCATGTTGCGAAATATCAACCAGCCAAAGCTTTGCAATGGAATGCGGCTTGCAGTAAAAAAATTAATGAGCAGCGTCGTAGAAGCAACAATCTTGACAGGACCTTTCAAAGGTGAAGATGTCCTCATTCCTCGCATTCCTATGATTCCAACGGATATCCCATTTCAATTTAAGAGATTGAAATTCCCAATTCGATTGCCGTTTGCAATCACCATCAACAAAGCTCAGGGCCAATCTTTAGAATTGTGCGATTTAGATCTAGACACAGATTGCTTCTCACATGGACAATTATATGTTGCGTGTTCTAGAGTCGGCAAACCAGACAATCTCTATATCTGCACAGACAATGGAACAACAAAAAATATTGTATACCCACAAGCATTGTGAAATTAAACATATTAGAAACATGTGCTTTCTCTTTTCTTTCTTTTCCATTTAACCAGACTGAGCCACAGCAACGCGTGGCCGGGTACAGCTGGTAATATAATAAAAATATTTCATGAGGCATGCATGCAAGCAGCTTGTAGGTAATGTAATTCGATAACATAACACAAGCTGCATGTTCCCCAAGTGATTTACAATTTATAATGGCATGGTTCAAAGGTTTAAAAAATAATAACATTTAGTTATAAATAGATGTATACTGTTACAAGTTTGAAGCTACTTAGGATAAACTAATGTAGTTTCACACCGGGTACAGCTGGTAATATAATAAAAATATTTCATGAGGCATGCATGCAAGTAGCTTGTAGGTAATGTAATTCGATAACATAACACGAGCTGCATGTTCCCCAAGTGATTTACAATTTATAATGGCATGGTTCAAAGGTTTATAAAATAATACATTTAGTTATAAATAGATGTATACTGTTACAAGTTTGAAGCTACTTAGGATAAACTAATGTAGTTTCACGCTACATTTGAAGTAGTTCTAGAAAGAAAAGGAAGGTAATTTAGATTTATTTACTCTTTTTTTATTTTGGTGGTATGAGGTCAGTCAAATTGACCTACCTTGTATAGCGTTAGGGTAGAGAAAATAACAGATAAGATATAAAGTTTTACTGAAAAGAAACATTTAAAATGTATTTTGAAGGTTTCAGAGATTACACAAATGAAACTTGAGATTTTTGAGACCAAGAAAAGTATTCTTAATCTTAACATGAAAATCACTTTGCACATGGACTATTCCAAACAAATACTTCACTATAAGATAAGATTTTTTTTGTATGTGAAAGGCTTATAATGTTTACTGAAAAACTGCCAAATGTCGTGAAGATATACACATTATATCAAAAGTTAGTAGTATCAAGTCTATGAAGACTCTATACAAGTACAAAAAAGTCACGTGGTCAGTCAAATTGGAGAGAATTAATCAGTTCTTATGCTTCTCAACTCCTTTTTTTATTTATTGTTAAATACAAATCTAGACAATCTACACAATGGGCTATATGTGATGTGTCCATGATAGTACCATAAACCCTTAAACTTACTGCTGAACTAGCACGAATTCTGCTCAAATACAAAAATGCATAGGCCACACATTATGTTTCATAAGGGTAGAGCTGATTTTGGTAAAAGGATGCCTTAAAATGTATACTCTCGCTAAGTGTTCAGTCAGCTAACTAACTATGACTTACTCATTATAAAACTTAAATAACTTTACTTTTCATAATATTTTTCTCAACATAACTGATTAATTGCTAAAATGTGTTCAACTTTTCAAAAATGTAAGTTATGACCTGTAAAATCTAAGGGTCGTGTATTAACCATTCATTTGACTTAAAAAATAAATTGTAGCTGCAATAAAGAATACTTATAAACATTAGCAACTTTGTTTTAAATTAATGTTTTAGATGTTTATTTAAATTTTTAGGAATAGACCAGTGATTCAAGCAAATGCCTTTTTTTTGAAGACTAACTTCCTTAAATATATTTAAACCCATGGGTAAAGGCTCTAGAATTCTTGGACACTCTGATATGATGAATATTGGCTATGCTTGAAAATTCGGGAACGAGATCTCAAAATTCTGAAATTAGTTTTGGCTTGGCACAATGATCTTTACTTAGTCATACATATGTGTCTAATCCATGGGCATCTATAGGACTGCAGGATATATTACAGAGGGGGGCAAGAAAACAAAATGCTCTTAAAGCTATAACTAGGGGAATGCAACTGGGGTAGGTGGGTGAGGACGTCTATGGCTTAATCTCATTCATCATACAAAAAGCCAATCTGGCCAATACAATAAAAGAGTTGGAGTGACACCATATAATTGTTGCAAGTATTTCACATATGCCAGTGAAATGGGTGAAAGGTTTGCATGAATACAAATACAGGAAAAGCCTTTGCCAGTAGACTATAGATAATAAAATAAAAAATCAACTTAAGACCACTGTAGTATGATGAAATCAAAAACAAAAAAAAGGTGAAAACCCATACCACAAAAACTAACATTAAATAAGTGTTTTAATGCTCACAATGTTTCGGATTAGTACGGCCTTGCTCTGGCAATTTTAAACTTTAATGGAACAAAAGATTTGATACCACAAGGATTATCAAACATAGAATGTTCGATATGGGTATCATACACGAGATCTAAAGATTTGGTGGTCAATTAATTGAAATTAAGGACAGACCATCACTACCTGGACTGCACAAAAACAAACATGCTTTTAATGGGACTTCATACTTGAAGGGAAGAGAGCCTGTTCTTTCATTGGAGTTAAATTTTTCTAGCATGTAAGTAAATAAATAAAACATACTTGCCAATTAATGTCATATATTTCATTATAAACACATAAAATCTCTTATGTTAATCTTCTCACGATTTGGAAGTTCTGTAGATAGGAGCAATCATCTACATTTTGTTGTAGATTTAGAAATGTCTTATCTATAGTGTGACATATAATATTCTTTACAGTGGTAAAAAGCTTACGAGAATCCACTTCATTAAAAAATTTTAGTAAATGGCTCTGAAAAGATGTTCTTAAGGGTTAAGCAATCTAATATGTTTGGATTTTTTGAAAAACAATAAGTCAAAAACAATAAGACTAAATAAACAATAATGATTTACCATTCAACATTGTCCCTAGCTTAAATGAATAATTATATCACAAATTACAAGTGCATTTTTAAGTATAATTATTGTGAATAAAAACTTGTCATAAGAAATATACAATGAATTGACATTAATACAATTAATTAATTGTATAAAGTATAACATCTAAACTTACCACAATAACTATTATTACCTTATGCTTAAGTGATATAGTTTCACAATTTGACCTTCCACAATCGTCTGAATGACATCCTTAGATGGATTCCAAAAGAGCAATATGGCAACTGGAAAAATTTAAGTATACAATCTTTCTTTATAACTGTTAACAATTTCTTCAAATTCATTTTTAATTCAGGCTTTTCTTCTACCAAACACAGATTAAACATAGCAGCCAATAATAATTCAAAAACTTAAAGAAACAAAACAGAAATTGAAGGCCAACTGAGCTTACCACACCAAAAAAAATGTTTACTTTGTTACTCTATGATGTAGCAATTTAATATAAATAAATCTTCACTTTGAAAAGAACAGTTTTTTTCATAATTTTATTTAATTGTTAGTTATATGATTGACTTACACTATCTATATACAGTATTGGAAATAATTATGAAAACAAGTGACAAAAAAAGAAGAAAAAAAGAGCACAGAAGGTAAATAATACATAATTTTCACCCCTTTATATTATGAAAATTAACTAAAATATAGTACAGAAGTATGTGATAGTTTACACCATCACTGGTTGCCATATAACAAAATGGGAAGTGCACACCAGTAAAAACCCTATAAAATTATAAGCAGTCATAATATGCCCAATAGTAACAGTGTGTATCCAATTATGATTTCCAGAACTGAAATGTCAAATAAAAAGCATGTATAAATCAATGTTTTGGCAGGTTAAGGATATTCCATGGAGAATAATTGCTGTACGTCTCCATGTTTCACTAGGAGCTGTTTACATTAAACTGGCAATGTTAATAATAAATATTGTCAAGGCAGAAAACCAAAACTCTCTCTCTTAAAATAAAAATATACATCTCAGCAAAAGTTCTTTAAGAGACAGACAGTGGTGGAGTACAGATCTTTTCAATCATAATTATTTCCATTACTATGCATTTTAATTTATATGTTTTTCTTTAAATAACATGGATGCCACTACACTGTTTATTAGATATATACAAGGAAAATTACTATATATGAATAAATAACAAATAAACCTTACATTTCCTGTGTTTTCTATCCTTTGATGAGATGCCTAAAACTTTTGCTTTCAATAATGGAACAACAACCCGATCTTCTGGAAACTTGAAATAAGGAAAGATTATAATTAATGAATCTGAAATTTTTATATGCAACTTAAAATGAGTTTTCCACTCCAAAAGTAATGTGCCAAATAATGTAATGATGTATATTTGTAGCAGATAATTTAAAATTTCTTTCAGAATTGTACAAAATCTGTTCTACATACTTAAAGTATGAAAAATTATTTGCACTTTATACAATGGATAATTATTAAATATTTCTAAAACTTAAAGTATTATGGTTGCATTAATACATCATATTACACAACAGATGCAAAAAATGTTATGAAATATTTCTTGCCATAAAGTCAGCTTAACAATTGCTTAACTAATACTGTTGAAACGAAACTTTAGGCAGAGAAGACATAGTAGGCTTTAGAACTTAGATGAAGTAGTATTAACTAATCAGATTTAACAGACTCCATAAACTAGCAAGAAAAGTAAATGAGTGATTCGTTGGCTATTTAAAAATAATAAATTGTAACTCAAACTTATGGCAATTTTGCTATGGTTAAAACTTGCTTTTTTTCCCCATTCATATGGTTTGTTAACTTTATTAGTCCTGGCTGAGTTAATTTGACCCAACTTTATAACTCTTTGCAAAAATGTGATGTTCCACAAAAACTATTAGCAATACATTTAACACACACTGTCTAACCAGTTACACGAACTTTTATAAAGGAACACATCTTGAAATTTTGATCCAATATTTGTTACTCTGTTAATTCTGAAACAATGATTTCATATCCACAAAAAATATTTACTTATCTCCTAGACTTGTTTTCTCTTTTTAAACCCAAGTTTATGCAACAAAACTGTGTTGCTTTAAAGCTCCAAATTTTCTAAAAGTAGAATTTACTTAAGTCTTGTGTGTGTGCACATAAATCACTGACATAGTGTTATAAAAATTAATGAAATAAAGCATTTAACCAAATTTTTGTTTTTATTTTTATCCAGAATACTGTATTCTCCATATCCAAATATGTTTGAACTGATTTAACATTCATAAAAGTTTTATTTGTTTATATTTAAATTTGCCAATCTGAAAAATCTATTTGTTACAAAAACAACCAATATTTCCACATAAATGATGTATCTTGGATGAACTAAAGGTTCAATTCCAATCATCTGAGCATCCTTCCTTAGGAGTTGTACTGTTGCTAAAACATTCTTTTACAATGAGTAGACTAATGAGCACTTATTTATCGAAATAAATATAACTTCCAAATATACACAGTATTAACACAAATAAGGTATCAAGCAAAACTAGATGATTATCCCACATTTGAAAAATCTCTGGTGCTTGTAATTGGACTGGAAAATGTTTGAAGAAAATTGTTGTGATGTGACTGATTTACCACATGGAAATTCTCAACCATTTCATATGAATCATGCACCAACAATTACTTACACTCTCTTGAGGTTTATCTTTGTACATTCCTAGTAAACATGTGAAAAAAGAAAAAACAAAAATAAATATGACCCATTTCATGAAAAAGGATATGACTGTACTGAAAGTGTGGGGTAAAAAAAAAGTTATTTCAGCTTCTATAAAGGGTATAAAATATAAAAACAAATTATTCACTTCAGAACATATTTTTTTTTCTAGTATTAATAAAGTTTGAAATATAGGGTCCATAAAGTTTATTACAAAAACTCATAAATTCAAAACACACATTTCACATATGTAAAAACTTGCCCCAAAATGTTTCGTTTTTCATAAATAAGAATGTAACTTCAAAAGCATTGTATTATGTATAAAAATATTACTTTAGTATTTGTAATGTAAAAAAAATCCAAAGTATGCGTTTGATATACACAGTGGCAAAAACAAATTTTATTATCATTCCCCAAACATAAAGCTTTTAGAACATGCATTATCCAGAATATTACAATATTATGAGAGGCATGGCTAAAGGTTATTTTTTACAAAACAACAATTTGACCAAAAACATTCAGTAAATTACAAAGCAATAAGAACATACTTCTCCTTTTTCTTTTTCTTTGGAAACAGCAAGATTTAGTTGCTCCTGGAATTTGCTAAGCCTCTTCTGTTGTAGTTCCTGCTGATAGCTTCTTAAATTCTCCTCTTGAGATTTACTGAGAATACTCTGAAAATCAAATCAGTAACTTCATAAAGAAAATATTGAAATCACAAAATAATTAAAAACATCAAATTTACTGATAGAAAGAAATCTTATGAAAATATTTCTCACCCTTAAGGCTTTTAATTTCAAAACAATCATAAAACAGAGTTCATTTTTATAACAACATTAATTCAATTAATTATGTCACAGTTCAAACATATTTTTGATTAAAAAAAACACTTGTTAATGATTCAGTCTTAGTTCAATAACAAATGATGAGATGTACTAGTCAGAATAAAATGATCAAATAAAACATAAAAATAGAGTAATTAAAAATTTTGTATACTTGTCAACTGTTTGCATAAACAGCCATAAAAATGAAAACATTACCATATTCACATTTTAATCTATTATTGAAATAACTACTGCAAATGATGTAGTAATCGTAAATAATTATGTATTTCTGAGGGTTTTGCATCAGTACCAAATAGTAAGAATAATACGATATAATACTCAGATGTAATCACCAATTACTCAGGATTAAATTATATTACTTATTATGAGAAATGTTATTATATTCAGTTATAATCACCATTCTTTCACGATTGATTATAATCAACACTGACTTGAAATTATTATAATTGCTACATATGTAATAATTAAAACATAATCAATGTAATTATAACATTTCAAACACACATTTCCAATCCTTTCAAAATAGTTTCATTCAGTGAGCAATCATAAATATGTTGAAACTATTAATAAATATTCATACACTTCATTCAAATGCCAAAACCATTAATAAACATTCATACAAATGTAGACACTATTAATAAACATAAAATAAAACATTAGAGCTTTTAATAAAGATTCATAAAAATGATGGAACAATTAAGACATATTCATACAAATCTAGAAATAATTAATAAACATTCATACAAATGGTGAAACCCTTAATACAGATTCATAGAAATGCTGGATCCATTAAAAAACATTCACAAAAATGTTAGAAACATTGGGAAACAATCATACAAATGTAGAAACCACCAATAAACATTCATGGAAAGGTTGAATCCATTCAAAAAAGCATTAAAAGAAATGTTTTACCCATTAAAAAACAATCATATTACACAATGTAGAAACCATTAATGAACAATAACAAAGTTTTATCTTAAGACATTCAGAAAAATGTTGGAACCATTAACAAACATCCATAGAAATTTTGGAAACATTAAAAAACATTAGGAAAGAATCATACAAGTGTAGAAACCATTAACACACATTCATAAAGATGTTGGATCCATAAAGAAACATTAACAGAAATGTTATAACTATTTATAAACAATCATACAAATGTTAGAATCATTAACCTTATGGAGACTAGTTCAGTCAACTTGACCGATCTTGTAATAAAAAACTTTGTTCACATTATAACTCTGAATGCACTAAGTGTATTCCTCAAAATTTGGCAAGCTATCAGTAATTATTTCTTACATTTTAAATTCATAGCCTCTAGAGCGTCCTAAGGAATATCAAAATTTTTTTGGATAAACTTTAAACATTAACTCTAATTTTTGCTCCCACAAAGTTAACTGTTGCCAAACCATCTGTAGCAAAATTTGAAAATAAAACAAAATCGAAAATAGCTTTTTCCTTTCCTAATTACTGTAGATTTTAGCATATATTTACAATTATTTATACTAATCAGCCTCATGCTCCTATCAGTTTCACAACTGCTTTCATTTACTTTTATTGTTTTATTGCTCTTTGACTCATCTGACTAGTATAAATCAAATGGCAAGAGCTTAGGGTTTAACTTTCTTAATTAACCTAGTAAGTTTCTAATTTTAACACATTAGTTACTTTTGTAAAAAAACATATATAACAATAAGTAAAAAATATATATAAAAACCAAGATATTTAGTACTTTAGCCTGGAGGCTTCTAGCCTTTGGGAACTTTGTTTAGTAAGCCTATTTTTTTCTAATAAAGTTGGTTGTCCAAAAAGAATTTATTTAGCTTTCATATATGCATTTTAGAATACAAAAGTACATCAGGAACTGGAATAGAATGTCCTATTATAATTTATCTGGCTTTCTACAAAACCTACACACAGGTTATAAAAATCTAATTATTGCTCAGAGTAATGTTTTTAGTATAAATACATCAAGCTTTAACCCTGAAATAGTGGCCTTGATCATCTCATTTATGTAGTTGAGAATATACCTTATCTATTGGTCATAAACATATCCAATAGGAACTTCAAAGTGAATTACAGACATTTCTTAAAAGAGAGAGGATAAGGGAGGGGGTATGTTAATAGCAGTTAAACAACTATAGCAATATCTCAGTAAAGCAGGAAAAGGTTGAAAATTTACTCTCTGGCTTGTTAGTACCTATAATATTTGTTTCTAATTGATTGAACAATCTGAAGACCTTTACTTATAAAAAATCTATAAATGAGAAGTCAAAGCACCACCATGTCAAGTGACTTAGAGGTACGATTTATTTAAACATTTCCTTTTGAAATTAAAATTAATATACAAATTGAATTATAAACTAAGTTTTGATGTCCAGTTCACTAAAATACATTAATAATTGGGTACTTTATTTAAATTTTTAATGTAACTCGGTAAAAAGGCCATGACATGCTTACTTTTACCATACTGTGTCCTTACGGTTAATAAACATTCATAAAAATGTTGGAACCATTAATAAAAAATTCATAGAAATGTACATTCAATGATGAAACATTTATAAAAATATTGGAACCACTAAGAAACATTCATAGAAATGGTAGACCTATTAAGAAACTATTAGTAAACAGAAACTATTAATAAAAATCGATACAAAGAACCAATCATACAAATGTAGAAACCATAAATAAACATTTTTAAAAATGTAGAAACTATAAATAAACATTTATACAAATAATGGATCCATTTAGAAATATTCAAACAAATGCTGGACTGATTAAGAAACATTCATAGAAATTAGTGACAATACAAAAACTTTCATAAAAATGTTGAATCAATTAATAAACAGAAACCATCAACAAACATTCAAACAAATGTTGGATCCATTTAGAAAAATTCACATAAATACCAGAACAGTTAAAAAACATTCACAGAAACACTGGATCCATTAAGAAACAATCATACTATAACCACTAAATATAATTAATAGAAATGTTGAAACTATTAAAAATCATCCATAGAAATCATTAATAAACACTCATACAAAGTTTGGATCCATTTAAAAATATTCATAGAAATAGAAATGTTGGATCCATTAAGAAACATTTGCAGAAATGTTGTAACCAATAAAAAATAATAATATAAACATTATAGTGTAGAAAAAAAAACCTATATGCACAGAAAATATTTTAAGCATTTTTGAAAGATGTCTTTAGTCTTTAAACTGACAAGAATGTCTGATCAGATAAGTAAAAGAATATAGCAAAAACATTTTTTTTAACCTCAACAAAAGCAGGATCATCTACATCTTGTAAGAGCTGATAGAGTTCCATGCCAGATGTAATTTTCTCAACATAAGATTTTGTCAGCTGATGGTATCTCTTTTGTTTGTCCCTCTTCATTTCTGTAATAGATATGTAAATAAAAAAGATCCTTTTTTTATTATCTGAATGCAATAAATACAACACCAAAAATAGCTTTAAGAATGTCTTAAAAGTGACAGGTTTCTATATGAAAGCTAATAAACAGGTGTTTTTCATGATCACAGACATAAATTTCATGTGCAACACTAAAACTGATACTGTTTTTGGATAACAGGGTAAAGCAACAACAATATTGTGATTTTAAAGATGAAGTTTCTTTTCTGCCTTGTGGCTATTAGTATAGTTTTGCTTGCTGTATTTCAGAACTATCTGAGATATTTATATAACTCAACACCTGAAAAGTGCAAGTAATGGAAATACAATGTTACAGAAGTTAAAGATAACAGAATGATTAATAAAGGTCACAAACTACATTTAAAATTTCAGTTATGCTAGTTTTCTAAGTAACCAAGCTAAGACAGAGAAAAACAAGCAATATCATCCTTTCTTCTCAACAGTAAAAATTACAGGTTTAAATTGTTTTCTTCTTCTTTGAAGTGTTACATGCTATGCTTAAGGTCTATTTCAGCATTGAAGCTGAAAATGAAATAATTTGCTAAGAAATTATAATATGAAAAATCATGTTTTTTACCTCTGTTTCATTATAACTTAGCAGTTGTTTCATAACTTGTCAACCATTTTAAGATAGTAAATACTATTACAATTCTTTACACATCCATGCAGTAATAATTTTTATAATAGAAAAAAAAATTAAACCACAAATGTATGGCTATTACAAATACATTATTTATGTTATTATATTATTCACAGCAGTAAGTAGATGTTTAAAAACAACACTGAAAGTGTTGTCTATTTAAGATAATGTCATTTCTAATGATAGAGTAAACTTGGAAAAATTTAATTAACAAATATATTAAAGAAAAACTTTCTGAATATATACCCTAAAGTCAAAATATTCTTGATTAATAAGAATTATTACAAAGCACTGATTAGTTTGTCCTAAATCTTCAATATTTTACAAAAGTATGTAATGATTAAAGCATAGTAGTAGAATATAGAACTGGATGATTGATTAAATGTAAATGAAGTGTAAAATAAGGAATTGGTTAAAACGTTAACACTAATAATTCATCAAAGTCATTTCTAGCAAAACACCAACCCATTTCCAATTCCTTCTTCTCCAGGTTAGTCTGGATTTTTGCTTTCACCTTCTCCAGGTAATATTCCTGAAGCTTTTGATGTCTTTCTGCAATCATTACTTCCATTGTTTCATTACGAAAAACATTTCTTCCATCACTGTACTTTTCCACATACTGAAAATGCAATATGCATGAAACTATGATTAAACTCAGGGTAAGTATATACAATGAACTTAAAAATACATTTGAGCTTCCTAATATAGAGAATTACATTGAAACATTCCAGATCATAGTAAAGTTACCATACTTTTAATGCACTTAGAAAACTGCTATATACAGTTAAAAACCTGCAATATTTAAGGTAATAAATAAACTGCTTATAACAAGAAACATACTTACGATTATTATGGACTAAACCACACCTAGTGTAAGGATGCAATTGAATAAACAAAAGCAAAACAATGACCCTTTGTTCTCCAGCACAGCCTGAGGTAAATTTCATTTTCCAGAAATTAGCATGTTAAGTAACAAGTTGTTCAAATTATCATTTGTCATGAGACATCTCTCCTCAGGACACATTTAATGCAAGTTATTTTTAAGAATACACCTTTCTGGTAATATGCTATCTTAACAAACAATCTGATTTACAAATGTAGTCAAAGAACATTTTTGAAAGATCTGATACTCTTTTTGACTTAAATTTTTTCACATATAGTTATGAACATAAATCTTCTTAACAAGTGTATGTATCACAATTGCATGTGTGTTGTTTTAAATAGACAGTCTTTCTGTTATATCTGTAAATATTTTGTCTGACACTGGATGTTTTAAAATAAACCTTCTTAACTGTTCTGTACTGAACTAAATATTACAAAGTGTTTTTTGGTAAAAATTAATTTTTAATTAAAACTTTATTAACTGCCTTAATAAAAACTAAATTCAAAAATATTACTGCTACCAAGTTTAATTTCTACAATATAAAGCTTTCAATAATTTAATATAATTGACATATTCTTAAGCCCATTTCTTTTTATCCTCTGATTTTCTTACAGTAAAATAAATGTGTAGTTATGATTAAAAACAATAATTTGTACATTTACAAAATTTCAGTGAATCATATGTTGAAAGATTATCAAATTTCTGTGAAACTGTTTTAACTTGTAAGCAATGCATTTACTTATCCTGCTATATTTTTTTATTTATGTTTTTAAACAAATTTTACAGTCATTTGAACATGGTGAAGGTCACTCTTTACTATTACAACATTGAAAATAACTTTGGGTTTTCATAAACAAAAGTAAAGATATTATACCTTGAATACTGAATCCTACAGACAGTTAAAGACTTTATGAAGCACATGGCTTACACTTTTGTTCTACCTGAATTGTACTGTGATGTTCATTTGATTTAGTTATTAATTTCATCATCACACTTTTCAATCATGTAATTTTGTCTTTCTTTTTTATTCAAACTCTGGCTTACTTTCAATTCTACCTATACCAAGGAAAAAATATACCTGCTTACAGTAAATTTATGGCAAATGAATATTAATCAACTGTCATTGTTAGTAACCTATACATAACCACCTAAATCTAATTATTAATTTTTAACACTAGATACTAATTACTGACTACCTTATGTTTTAAAATTTGATTACTAATATCAAGCATGTAAATGGGCTATGAACAAATCATACAAAAGTTAGTATAAGTACAAAAAGTATTGAAAATGTTTTCCTTAGGGATATATGAGAGGATGTCCCTTACAATTATATTAGTAAGTTAAATCTCCAGAAATTCAAGCAAAATATGTTGAAATCAATTGCGATATGAGAAAATACCATTTTTACACTGATTGGATGCATCAAGCTCCATCAAGACAAGGTATCTAACCACAGTTCAAGTCAATATCCAATTCCTCTGAAAAATGCAATTACAAATGGGAATTCATGCTCTACCATTTGCAGATATCTCTCATGGGTATCTGTGCCTTTGGGTTATTTAAAGGGGCCTTCGGATTTAATTGTCTATAAACAATTGATGGACTTAGGAAAACACATGGAGAATAAAATGAACCTCAATGTATTGTGAAAAAGCATCCTGTGGTTGAAAAAAGAGCCATAACTTTCTACAATGCTTACTTCTGCCTTCTATAATTATTGCAACAATGGATGAGTAAAATAGTTTCTATTTTTATGCTACTTTATGTCTGTAGAGGAAAGTTGTTTCTTCTATTATTCTTACATATATATATTTGTGAGTGGTACAGCCAGCATCATAGAATGGGGTGGTCCTTTTTCCAAACAACTGTGGACTTTGTTTTCTGCACAAAGATTTTGCTCCGCCCTCCTTTAATCTATACTCCTGTATATATAACACATTTTCATGTTGTTGCGTCAGTGAGGTCACGTGACTAGTATCACACCACGTTTTCTAGAAATATCCTGTTTATTCGTGAATGCCCTAGCATTTACTAGATATATGTTAGTCTGTTATATATATAAGATGCTCGCAACGTGACAGAAGAACAGTGTAATGAGTAATTGAATGTATGCGGACAAAATATTGTTGGCCACGTGAGTTTTAGCGTTTGTTATAGCGCGACTATTGAAATTAAGTGTATCGTAAAGTTGTATTTGGAAAGAATAAACCAGTTTTATTAAGAAAGGACTTGTGTCGCTAAAGTTTCGTCGGAACGAAGTTACGTAAAATCAACTAACGACTGGAGGCGTAACAATGTCATAAAATTACCGTTCTTATCATTAAACAATTTTTATATGAGCAAGAAGAATGGGTAGACAAGGAGATAAAAAAAATCTTACAATAATGAAGATGAGAATGAAAAATGTTTGAAAACATATGACACCATGTTTTATGTACCATTAAAAAACTCCAAATTCTGCATTTCTAGGTTGTAATATATTTCATGCAATAATATTTATGATTTAATTGAGTAAAATTTAATGATTTATGAAAGAAATGCTCTGGTATGTTCTTGATATAATCAGAATAAAGCTACATTAAATTTTTTAACCAACTTGATAAAAACAAATCACACTTGACTACAAATGTTTTTCTTGTTCTTATAATCCTATTAATTAATTATGGATTTTGAATTAGATGTTTGAAAAAATAATGTTTCAGATTTATTATTTCGTCTACCATAAGCCAAATGTTTCCTTTGTATGCTGTTTGAAAGTGAATTGGAATATTTACACTATCCTTATTGTCAGTAATTTTAAAAATTAATATTATATATGTATATGGGTTCTTTTTTTTTTGCCAATTGTTGAAATAAATGGATTTTACTTATATTTATTAATAGTATAAATATATACTATTTAGTTGTTGGGCTTAGGATTCTTCTACAGTATGTGTCTGTGACTTATTAGCAACAAATTCAATGATGAATAAACATCACACACTTTACTTGTTTTCAAATAATATATATATATATATATTTGGAACAAATTAAAAGTGTGTACAATAAAGTATTCACACAAAAGAGAATATAAACATATTATAAATGTTATATCAGTATATGTATAGTTCTCCTCTTCTTGTCAAAGGTCCACTTAGGCCTCTTCAATTACTTTAGAATCTCAGTTGACAAACCGAACTATTTTCTCTAATACTATCGCAATATTACTATGGTGTGATTCACTTACGATTGTGGTCTTCTTTCTGCTGAAGATCCTATGATTCTTTTTTCAAAGTACACTCAGGCTGATTCAACTACTTCAGAATTTAGCTTTGATGAAATAAACTAATTTTTTTCTTTCTTTTTCCACTATTAATTTCAACTGAATATATATATATCAAATTTTAGGCCTATCACTTTTTCATTACTTAGCTTCACATGAACTGTATTCTCTGAGCTTTTATATCTGTCTAATACTGTCAGTCTGCTGCTTACTGCTCATCTCATGCTATTTATATCTTTATTACATAGTCGTCTAGCCTCTTTCTATATTCTCAACACCAATTAGTTATTAACAAAACCTACTACAATTGTCTGCTTTTAACTCTTATTATAATAAAACTTAAAAATACTAAAATATTCACTCACAAATATAAATTAATCACTAATATTTAAACCAAACAGTCATTTATATCATGACACTTGTATAATAGAGATAAATCATTTTGTATATAAGCTACTAAAGTTGAATTGCATGTTATGTGAACTAACGTACACTTGTCATAAATACATAATAATATTTCACACATGTTAATTTCCTTAGTGCTTATCAAATGTCATAAAGACATTTATAAACCCATTTCAGAAGATCTCATATCCCCTTTTCCAGTTTGGTCATGGAAATCAAGCACAACAAAATCAACCAAGTAGCAACTTGATTACTAAAAATGTGTAAATTGTGCCTGCTTATTGGAAACTGTGCTAGACTTTAATATATATATATGCTGCCATCAAACCTGCTAAGCTGTAGTTTGATTTGTCACTTCTTGTTTCCATCATCATCATCTTTTTTTTATTTTGCTTTTCTGTCCCACTCTCTGACACAAATTTGTTACGTATCTACTCGTTTGTTAATTTCCGGTATAAATTCTTTCTTGATTTAAAACTAGTTTATTCTTTCTCGAAACAACTTTATAATACACAGAATTTCCACATTCACTCTAAACTTAA